CGAGGCAGAATGACATCTGCCCGAACTATGATCGCTTACGCGACCCATTTATATCGCTTAAGCGATTATTCCTAAAAGACACATGGTCGCTTAAGCGATTTATGATCGCTTAAGCGATCTTTTCCGAGGCAGAATGACATTGCCCAGACTATGATCGCTTAAGCAACCCATTTATCGCTTAAGCGATTATTCTTAAAAGACACATGGTCGCTTAAGCGATTATGATCGTTAAGCGATCTTTTCCGAGGCAGAATGACATTGACCGATATGATCACTTAAGCGACCTTGCGCGCTTAAGAGATTCTTTCTAAAATGACATCTGCCCAGACCTTAGTCGCTAAGCGATTTAAGATCGCTTAAGCGATCGTTTCTGGAAAAGTCTTGGTCGTTTTAGAGAGATATGTGGACAAACCAAATATCTTTATGGACACACCATACTAGTAAATTGAAAATGCTGATGAATTATCTTATATGGACAAACAAAAATATATCCCAAATATCAGATCCAATTCTTACAATGATCACACCATACATAGTAAATTATTTACAATTTCCTATACACTGCCTTTAATTTAGTTTTGATGCCAAAGAGTTTAGAATCCACAGTGAATGGTATCAGGGCAGTCCATGCTTGAAAAGATGCCCACGACATCATTCTTCCCGATGCTTTCGGCTCTGCACTAGCATCCAACAAATTCAAGATGATATCTACAAGGGCGGCTAATATGGTGCCTCGGTTGACTTTCTGTGGAGATTGACCATTCCATCTTAGGGACCTGCAGTGTAAAACACCATAATATGAGAAAGACATGAATTAGAAAATAGCAAGCCAATGAGAACAAAATAATAAGCAGTTCTGACACAAAGTACCATTAAAACACCATTGAAATGACATGTATATACACCCTTATTGATAAATATAACAGGTATCACATAAACTCAAATCAAAAACCCAAGTATGAACATCAACATCACATAAACTACAAAATTCAGCGTCCAACTTTCATACCCTTTGATTGGGTTCTGGTCACTCAAAACGGATCCATCTGCCCATGGAAGCAGGCGACAGCCCAGCGCTCCCGACAGTCTCTCATTGTTTCGTCATTCAAGCTGTCCATCGGGCTGTTGGTCATGTCGAACTGAATAAATTTCAGGGCATATGCCCCACATTCAGCGTACAATAGGAAGAAGACATTAGCATTGTAATAAACTTATAGAACAATTGTATTATGTAAGTTAGTTTTAAACAAAATTTACCTTGACTCATTTATAGGGAGGTAGAGCGTGAATTGGCCATTTTCCGGTTAGTACCTGATCACCCAAGTGCCCAAACATCCCACTGTCACGCAACAGCGTGGGAACAACATGGACAGTGGCTCCAACTCGACCTCCAACTGCTTGTCTCGACCAATGGTTGGGTTGCAGTCAAGGATCTTCAGAAACCCTCCTCTAGATGTGCAAAGAATGTCTCAGTGCATCTGTTTGACGAGGATGATGCAGTACACTCTTTTAACAAAGGCCCAAACTATGGCCATATTTAGGCCGATCCCCCTTACGTACTGCATAATCCTGTCATCAAACCGAAAATTATCAGGGATGCAGTCCGACTGTTGTGCGGCCAATCGTTTTGCTTCGATCCTTTTGCTACACCACTAGCAATGGCATTTTTAATTAAAGTGCGATATGCCGAAACAAGCGTTTGCCCAAACGCCACATCGGTGATAGCACAGTCGGGATATAACAGATCACCATACATAGTCTGGCGTAGCCTATCAGTGTCAATATCTCATCGATGTGCTGCATCAAATAAAAACAACAAGTAAGTATGGAAAACACAGGCAAAAATAAGGAAAATTAAGTGAAAATAACTCACGAGTCCTCAAGCCAGTCCTCATCGTACACAACTTCTGAAACCATTCCCGGAGATAATCCCCTGTCTTCACCTTTATATGGCCATCACTTCCTGATCCTTGTAATAGGCATAAAAGAGTTTTTCTTTTCCTCTATTGGCCTATACAAATCGACATTTGAGTCCAATTTCCCTTCCCCACTTCCTCCCCTTCCTCCATTTTTACATCCCGCTTCCTTCGCCTCCCAACTCCCCTCCTATTTCACCGCCCCACTTCCACCACCAACTCCTCAACCTCCTCCATTTCTGGTTGTTCCTCCATTTGTTTTCTCATTTTCTTATCTTTACCTGTGTCACATACCATGTAAGGCGATTTCACAAACTTGCTCTTTGGCTCTCTTTTTCAAGTCAGTTTGCACTTCAACCGCCTTTAATTCTCCACCAACTTCCTCTCCATTACCAAACTTCGCCCTCCATTGTACCTATTTCCCTCCCACCTTATCCACTTTCTTCCCACCCTTTTCATTGTTTCTTCCATTTCTCAAGCCTTGCATAAACAGCTGTTGTAAAACTCTCAAACAGGCGTTTATGAGGTCAACAACCTCATTCTCCCTACGCCGATGTCTCGGCAAAAGGTACTTGTGTACCGATTTGCTGAGGCATACGAACCTTTCCCCCTTTCTCTTCCTCATCCTCGGCCCCCGAGCTTCATTATCCTCAGCATCAACGACATTGTCAACAATGGCCTTGCAACTGCCATCACATCGTGCGACCCCTTTTAGGTCCCGCATCAGGCGGTCTATCTATTCATCCCTTTCATCCTCCATTGCTCTGAAAGATGTGACATAGTCCTCTTCCGCTTCATCCCCAATAGCGGTCAAAAAGGGATGGATGACTCCGCAATAAGAAATAAAAATCAATCAGATTGAAGCAAAATAAAAAAGCAACTGCATATTCAAAAGCTTAATCCTTCAATCTTACCCCAGTGCTGAATCTCAATCTCTAATTGGCCATAATCCTAATGGTTACAGCTTCGACATGCCACTGCAACATCCTAGGAAATTGTTGTTGACATCAAATTGTTGTCCTCCCCCCCCCCGCCTTAGCGAAGACAGGGATGGCCTCGTACATCCAAGCCTACATTATAAAAAAACAGTCCATGCATTATTCAAACACACAATATTATAAAAAATATAACAGAGAGCTATTAATATTTACTGCATTGCCCATGGGAAGCCAAACAAATTTTACATGCTTGGTTTAGCTTCCCGCCCCATTCGGCTGCTTTAACGCCCTGTCTGGTTTTTTCAGGCTCTTGATGGTTCGCTCAAATGATATCCGTCCCCACGGATAAGAATTAAAGAACTCCAAGTCGCTTACAAACAGCAACCAATCTTTTAACAGCTTTTGAGTCACCAGCCAATAAGATAGAATGTAAAAACAATATCAAGCACACTTTTATCTTCTTGCATCATAAACCGAACTGTATATAGCCCTTCTCTAAAACTTTTCCTGTAATAGACTTTGCCCCTTTCAAAACCTTTTTACAAAAGTTTATGGCTCCCGCATCGTCCTACTGCGTCTGCCTCGCTTAGTTGGCACTTTCCCGCATCCTAAGCCCGTCACCAACGCATACTCCATCATACCAAACCATAGTGGCTTCCCTCCACCACGAACCACATTCATTTTTTTTTTGTTGCATTTACTGAGTGCATCAACATGTAATGCACTCCCTGCCCCCAAAATGTTTTTCCACTTGTTCGATTCTTAAAAACTGACCGAAACAAGTGCCACCAAAATCTCTTTCACCATGCCTCATTCTAGCTAAAATGGCCCTCATTCTGTTAAAAACCTCAGCTCGACCTCACCGTCACCCTTGCAGGGAAGTAGGGTACCTTCTCACTTATAGGTCCTAACTGTACTCTCTACAGTTTACGGTCCGTACAATCTGCAAAATCTGCACAATCGATATAAATAAAATGTCATCAACAAAAATAAACCAAAACCACTGTAGTCGTTAAGCGATCTCGGATCGCTTAAGAGATCTTTACTCTGCCTCATGCAAGATCGCTTAAGCGATTTAATGCAAGATCGTTAAGCGATTTTAAATCGCTTAAGCGACCAAGAGTTCACTGAGAATCTCTTAAGCGATACAACAGATCGCTTATTTATATGTGATTCTGCCAGACCTAAGATCGCTTAAGCGACCAAAGTAAACACTCATGATCGCTTAAGCGATCTTAGGTTCGGACAGATACATCTGCCCAGATCTCAGATCGCTTAAGCGATCATGGCTGCGATCACGAGTAAAACAGAATAATCACTAGGATACAAATGATCGCTTAAGCGAAATTACAAGCAAATTCCCAAACTACGTACCTATCTTCGCCGACCTTCTCCTCATCGCCTGGATCCTCCGACGACTCCTCCTGGCCTGAATTCGTCGGAATCACTCCTGGCTGAATTCTCTCCGGAATCCTCCTCCTGGCCTGAATTCTCGCCTGACTCTCGTCTTCAAACCGTTTGCTGGTTCTTCCTCTGTCTTGTGCCGCCGGCGTCTCCTCTACGTGTGGACCACCTTCACTAGTCAAATGATCCACGGAGCAGCCATTGAACTGCTTGCGCCACCGGAATCTAGGATTCGAAGTGGCGTTGGGCTTCCCTCCTCATTGGAGTGTCACTCATGGTTTTGGATTGAATTTGGTGTCAAAGTTTGCAGTTTCGATCGGAAATGTGGACTGTATCGCCGGAAATGGCACAGATTTCGTTTACGGTTAAGGAAATCGATTTTAGGGTTCAACAAATCGATCGAAAATCGCGACTGTATTCGGTTTAGGTTCAAGAAATGATTAGGGTGCAAATCAATTGGTGTTCGATCGGAAAAAATCGGTCTCCCTTCCATCAAGAAATCGCTTTTTGAACTGATGAATTTCGATTAAGCGAGGTGAATAGTTAGTGGGGCTTGTTTTGCGAAATTTCAAATTTTAAAAACTTTCATTATTTTTTATTCGGCTATATATGTTTTAATCTTTTCATTTTAACCTATTTTACGTGTTTAATTAATCCTAACTATGCCACGTCATCTTCTTTAAATTAAAAAAAAAATGATTAACACTTTCAAGGCTATTTTCTTAAATAGAAACTTGGGATGACGGCAGCTAAATTTTCTCGAATGGAAAGCTACAAGGGCGGCGTGGGTACATAATTCAGGCTACTCAGCAGTCAGCACCGCCAACGACTGACGGAGATATGTATATATGAGATAATCTAACTCGGAGAAAAAGAAAGTGAAGGAAGAGAGAAAATGGAAAGAGAAGTGAAGGAAAGCATAAGTGAGAGACTTTCTTGTTTGGATGATCTCTACTTTCCTCGCGCTCTTCAATCCAACGCCACCACACCCTCTCAACGCAAATCTATTCTCCTTGACCTCCTCTCCCGCGATGCCGCCGTTTTCCTAGGTTTCCACTTTACCATCTATTCCTTTTACTTTTACAATTTTCATTCTCAATCATGCTTTTCCTTGTTCTTCTTCGCTTTATATTCGAATATTGATTAAAATCAAGTCTAATTAGTTGTTAATTTTATTTTTTTATCTCTGTTGTTGCTTATTCGATTCCTTATTTTCTTTCCCTAGGCAAGGCTTGATAAGTTTCTATTGTTATGATTTTTTAACTCCTCCAAACTTCACTATCTTCGCGTACTAATTCAGCTGAATTTTTTTTTTTTTTTTTTTTAATTTATTATAGAAAGATATGGATCGCAATTGACTGGTGATGAGCTTGGCAAGTTTGATGCACTCAACAATGACTATGAGATTAATTGGCACTTAAAAAATCTTAGGAGCAAGATGAACCCTACCTCAGAAGAGTTGCGGTCTAGGTCGGTGACTGTGAAGAACAGGAGGCTGGCATATCTTAACCAACTGATACGGGATGGCCAGTACTTTTCAGAGGATGCAATGAGGGAGAGGGAGCCGTATTTGCATCATGAGTATGTGGGGAAGTTTCAGGATTTGACTGGGAGGAACATGGCAAGGCCAGGGGAGAGGTGGTCTGAGACTTTGATTAGGCGATCCGAGGAAGCGATTTTGGTGGCAAAGATTAGGGAGGAGCAGCAGAGGTTAGGTGTGGCTGAGAGGGATTGGATTGGTAATGAAAGAAACCAACAAGAAGAAGAAGAGGAGGAGGAAGAGGAGGAGGAAGATGAAGAGGAGGAGGAGGAGGAAGAGGAAGTTCTAGAGAAAAAAGCTAACGGGGCTGTGCCTTCCACAGAGGTAATCTTTATGTTCTTAAGTTCGTGGTACTGTTTTTCCTTTTGAATAATTTTCATACTTTTTAGTTTCTGCTAACCATTAAAGTATTATATCCGTGGGATAATGTGAAGATAGTTCAAACATTGGCAATTGTAATTAATCATCTCCAGCAATCAATAGCTGTAGTAGATTAAAAGTGTAAAATAGCTATACCAGTTAGCTACTGAACCAGTATTGATTTTTATGTTCCAAAAACTTCCTCCAGCGGAAACATGATCTTTTTCCTTTTTCTGATTATTTGGCTGTCTTGTACTCATAGTCATAGATGCAATTTTTATCCGCCTTTTGTAGCTTTCTTGGATGTCAGAAGTTTCTCATGTGAAAGATATTAGGATAAGCATCTTAGCAACATTCATCCCTTTTTGTTTATTTGTTAGAAAAACTTTAATCTATTTTGTGTTGACCATATTCTGAACCTATATGGAGCACATTGACACTTGTCGTATTTGCATTTTTGAATCATTTTCAGAGGACCAAATACTGGACTCTTACTCAAATCCTTTATTTATACGGTTGACTTAACTATAGCTTATTTTCATGGCCTTTTATTGCACAATTGTACTGCAAAATACCTCAGATGTGTAGATGTGGTGTTATTTTATACTGTTAGTGTCTTACTGTATCCAAATTTAACCTGCAGCTAGGGCAAAAGTAAAATAAAAATTGTTCAAGTTGCTTTTTGATTTGAGCTTTTTCAAAAATTATAGTTAGTTGGTGCATATTTCCCACTTGATGAGAACAGAAGGATATAAGTTAATTTATCTATATTTCATTTGGGTGAATTAATATGGAAATTATTACATGCCATTTTCTTTTTTTGAAGTCGCCGATTTTTCCAAGACCAAGTAGTACAGTAGGTAAGATATTGGTTGGGGCTATGTCCTTATCATTCATGTTCTATGATAAGATTATGTTGCAAGTGGAAGGGTAGGAATTTTCAAATTTGATGTTTGGGTTAACTTCTCTTTTTCTCTTTTTCTACCTAGTGTATATAGTACAGAGCTGGGAAAATGTAGTAACAGGATAGGTTAAATTATTATTATAGTGATTCTCAGTGGTTGTCAAATAAATTAGTAAATACTCTTGCATGATTTAAAAGAGTTTATGCCATACTTGCTAAGTTAACATCCCAATTTTGCATTTCAAGTGATGTGACAACAAATTTGTTATAGTACATCAATTGCCACATCATCTTATCATTAATGTAGTGTTGGCAAATCAATTGTCATATCATAAGATTGGGATATTTACTTTGTAAGTGTAGTATTATGGGATTTAAATGCTTTGTTCTGTATTCATGAATCTTCTTCTCAAGTTAATAATGGTTGGACTTTACCTAGGATGACTGTGTCTTAACTTTACCTATGATGACTGTGTCTTAACTTTACCTATGATGACTGTCTCTTTTGGCTTGTATTTGAGTGACACTTAACATTGTCTTTCTCATTACTTCAAAATGCCTAAAAGTTTGTTTCTGACATGCTGAGATGTTTCTTTGAATTTCAGATGCTCGTGGATGATTCTGATGCAAACAATGGTAGCAAAACCACCACAGGATGTCAAATTCAAGAGGCAGTGCCATCAGCAGAAGAAACTGAAGATATGATGGGCCAGTTCACTTACATCATGCAGCAGAAGTTTCTTTCTGGTGAAGATCATCAACATTTTGATTACTCAAAAATAGATAATGATGAGACCCTGGATGATCACTGGCTCAGGGAAGTTGGCCAGGATGCTGAGGAGAAGTATTTTGCTGAAGATTAAGAAGAACGGGAGTTGCATTACCTTTTTTTATTTTTATTTTTATTTTTTAGTGTTATTTTATTATTTTGACTTACCAGGTGTTTCCTGTTAACTAGTAACTGACTACTGTAATCATATGCCATATATCTTTTTGTGTAAATAATGCATGACCACCTGTTTACCTTATTGGTCCCCTATCGAATTGACTTCAACAAATCTCTGAAAATGGGAATAAACTTCTTGTCTAGTGGCTGTGGTTCTGTGCATTATGTTTGAAAGGAGAAACTCAGCAGAGAAAAGGAGAAAATAAAAGTTCAAAACAAGTACGAAGCAAGTAGACAAAGAGAAGGGAGCCAAGATGGGATAGAAATTTGTGCAAATTGGGATCCAACAGAGTCAACAGATGAGCATAAAGCTATATGCAACAAGAAGAGCAAATGTGGGTGGGAAAGCTATGATCGGAACCTAGTCGTGTTCTGTTACTTAGCAGCTTATGCAATCCATCCACCTCAGCTTCTGTTAAGGTGAAAATTTGTATTTCATTTGGGATGCATATGTTAAAAAAAAAATTGAGCAATTACATTTTAGACTAAAGGGGGGCTAGAAACTGGTATAATTGTTGGATGTAGTTTATTCGTGAAAAGCAAGACACTGTAGTTCAAAAAGTAGCTAGGGGTTATGTTGGTTCTCAAAGACAGTGAGGTGTGTCAAAAGTTTTGGCAAATTTGTCTACTATGGTGATTCGCAGGGATTAATGTTGTGGGTAAATGAAATCCTGTGGGTGGGGATTATGTTGATGCAATTCAGAAATGCTGGTTCTTACCAAAGCTCCGCGGAATATGTCATCCTGTTGCTCTGCCCTATGTGAGAATGAAATAGAAAGAGGTGGAATGATAAGTTGGTTTGTTCAGACTTGAGGATGGAATATGCCAGTATTTTGGGTTTTGGTAGCAGATCCAGATCAAGTAGCAGAAAATATTGAGATGCTCACACTTTGATCAAAGTCTTGTGGTGTTGCAATCAAGGTTCTGAAAACCGGACCGAACCGTCCGATCGGACCGGTTTGATCGGCACCTGGTGGTAAATCTGGTCTGGTATATATAAAAAACTGTCATTTTGATTTAAACCGGATTGGACCGCGGTTGGACCGTTGGAATAGTGCCGAATCGCGGTCCAATCGCAGCCACTGTTCTAAAAACGGGACCGGACTTGCCGGTTGGACCGGGAACTGGCAGCTTCTCCGGTCCGGTTTAGGTCTCAAGGGGGTTTTTGAAATATTTTAAAATTATGAGGGTTACTTTGTAATTTTATAGGGGTATTTTGGATATATATCAAAAGTTTAGGGATTAATTAGTAATTTTATTGGGGTATTTTTGGAATAAATAAAATTTGTAGGGACCAATTTGAACTTTTTAGGGGAATTTTTGTAATATATTGAAATATAAGGGGTTAATATGTAATTTTTTAAAAATAAAATATTGCTGACGTCATCGATCCAACCGACCGGTCCAACCGGTTGGACCGGTTGACCCGTGACCCGGACAACAAAACGGTTTGCCCTCCGGTCCGGGTTTTAAAACAATGATCGCAGCTAAACCTCGTCGGATTCCGGCATCTTTCGACGGAGAAAACACCCCCATTCGACGGACGGCGTCTCCACGACCAAAACCATCCATTTTCAGTCGCCTACGTCAATCGCCGTCCACCTAAAGTTCACGTGTGACGCGACGTCGGATTTCTTTCGTTGATTCCAGCGGGTTCCAACGACGATGGAACTCCCTAGTACCACCATCAGAGTCGCCGACACCTACACATCAAAAGCCCTAAGATTCTAGCTTTGATTGGCCGTCGATCGTCGCTATCGTCACCACTCACCAGAATCTTTACGCAACAGGGGTGTTTTAGATAGATTTCAAACCTTAAGGGAGTCTTATAAGGGTGTTTTTGATGAATTTCAAACCTTCAGGGACTAAAAATAATTTTACAAATTACGGTCCAACCGACCCATCCAATCGGTCAAACCGGTCAAACCAAAAATCGGACCTTTGAACGGGTCATTGTCCAGTCCGATTTTCAAAATCTTGGTTGCAATAACACCTCTTGCAGACTCCATGGGTAATTAGATACACTTTCATGTAGTGCTTGAATGTTCACCCTTAGTAATTAAAATGAAAAATAAAAAGCAACTTAGCATAGCACGTAAGGAATGAATGTTTTGGATCCAAAACAGTAGAATAATTTATATATTTTTTCACTTGCCTCTGCTAGAGGTGGAAAAGCAGCCCGGCCCGACCCGACTCGACCCGCGACGGGTCGGTCCTGACCCGCCCGGCAACATTAGCAGGCCGAGTTACGCCTGCCAATGTGGGGGAATTGGCTGGCCCAACCCGGACCGCCAACCCTAACCCGTCGGGTTGGGCCGGGTTAACTCTCTTTTTGATTTTTTTTTTTATTTTGTTTTGTTTTATTTTGTTTAAGTTTAAATGTTTAATTAACTTTTCAAATGAATAATTAACAATTTATAAATGAATAAATGTAATTGTTTTTAGTTAATTGTTAATTTCTTTTCAAATATCAATAATTAAATTAAATTAATTTTTTTTTTGTTAACATTCCCAATATTAATTCAATTTTAATACATTAAAATTGTAATATAAGAATAATTAAATTTATTCATTTATTAAAAAATAAAATAAGAAATTACAATAATTATTGCCTCGTTAAAAACCTCACCAAGAAAAACCCAATAGGACAAAAATTTGGTAAGGAAAAAAGAGTGCAGTAATTGACAATTAATTTACAAGTTACAATTTACAAAACAATTAATTTTGGGGTTCACTAGGACTCCCCTCATCTGTATCATCTATACTACAAAATTGAAATGATTCTATTAAAGTATCGTCGACAACCTCGTATTAACCTTGATGGTGCGACCGTTCCTAATCTCGAAGACATGTGAGGACTTCAATTATTTTTTGTGAAAGTTTAGTCCTCCTTTCATTTAAAATTCTTCCACTTGCACTAAATGTTTGTTCGGATGAGACGGTTGAGACAAGAACAGCGAAAACATCCAAGGCAAGTCTTGATAATACCGGAAAAATATATTTTCTGGCTTTCCAATAGTCTAAGAGATCAATGTTGACTCTCTATTGTGGATCTACTAGTAACATTTCAAGGATTGTCAAATATTGTTGAAGCTCATTACTCTACGACTGCATGGAAGATAGTACATCAGTTGTTGTTGTTGTTGGTGGAGCTTCTGAAGAGGAGACTGTGCTTCGGATTCGGGTCCTTTTCGGCCTATTCAGTGCACCCCAATAGTAGAAGTCTTCATTTGTTTCTTCTGATGCAGCTTCTCTGGATGTTTCGCCTCTTTGCAGGTTCCATACCTGTTTTTATATTAGAAATATACTTCGAAAAGTGTATTTTTTACCTCTCCTATTTGATTGGCATATACTTCAGTTTGTAAATTTTCACATAAATTGTCAAAACCATTTTCTAAACCTGTTAATTTAATTCTAGGATCAAATATAGTACCTAAACAATAAAGAAAATGAATGGGTTTCCAATATTTTAAAAAAAAAAAATTCCAGTGCCTTTATTGGTGCATTTAAAATTACATTGTCTTTGTTTTTTTATAAATAACTCAGAAATTTTTATAATTGTATATATTACCAATGGACTAGTAGGATAATACACACCAAAAAGTTGTAAAGTGGATTGGTAAAAAGTTTTAAGAAAAGAATGAAATACTTTAGTTATTTGTCAATCATTTTCTACCAAATAATGAGGACTTATATTATTTGCTACAAAATAACTAATTATATTAGCATAAGATAAACATGAATCAAACATTAAATAAGTAATATTCCATCTAACAGACATGTCTAATGCAAAAGTTATAGGAGACATATTTGATTTTATACAAGCGTCTTGAAATTCAACATTTCTTTTATTACTACTAGTAATCCAAGCCAAACAATTTCTAATTCTATTAATATTTTCTTTAATTGTTTTCATACCACTTTTCACAATTAAATTAATAACATGGCATGCACAACTTTGGTGAAAAAACTTCAAATTGTTATATAAAGGATAATTACTTTGAAAATAATCTATAGCTTTACTATTAGAACTTGCATTATCTAAAGTTAAACTTATCACTTTACTAACAACATCATAATCTTCTAAAACTTCAACAATTTTATTATAAATTTGTTCACCACTATGATCAACATCCATTAATCTAAATCCCAATAAAGATTTATTTAATTTACATTCATTATCAAAATAATGACTAGTCACACAAATATAATCTTGTTTAACTCTACCACTCCAAATATCGGCAGTTAGAGCCACACTAACATGACAAGTATGTATTTTACTTTTTAATTCTAATTTCATTTTTCTAAACAATTTTATTAAATCATTCTAATTGCAGTTTTATAATAACTTTTAAATCCTGGAAAAAATGAATTTTGAACAAATCTTTCAAAATATTTATCTTCAGCCATATTAATAGGTTGATCAGTTGCAGCAATATATAAACCTAACTGTTCCATATATACATCAGAATTATAATGCCAAGTAGTACCCATATTAGTTATTTGAGTTTGACTGCTTTCTCTATTTCCATATTGATTAATATGTTTATTAACATGCATTTTTAAAGTACTAGTACTATTACCTGAATCAGCTTTATAAATATTTCCACAGTATTTGCATCTCGCTTTCTTGACTTGAACGCCATTTTTTGTCTCGTAAAACTTGTCGAAATACGCCCAAACGTCTGATGTGTATCTGTCTCGCTTTCGACGGCAGTTGATGATCCCGCCTCAGCTTGAGACGAAGTTAGACGAGCACGACGATTACGAGGATGACTTCTAGAACCACCGGGAGCTGTTGGAATCGGGGGCATATTTTGAGATGTATAGGATTCTAAGAATGGGAAAGCGGAACTATTTGAATCTCCTCCTGCATTTATGTTAGTAAAATCAACGGGACTAGGACTATGATAATAGTTTCCTTCATCATTGTAATTGATGGGAAAGAAATATCTATCCATTGTAGTTGAAAAAAAAAATTGATGTAGAATAAATAAAAATTAAAGAAAGAGAATTGGAATTTGGAAAATTGGAAATATGAATTAAAAATTGTAAAAACTAATAAAAATTAAAATACAAGCAAATTGATAACAAAGAGATTGAGAGAATAAATGAATAATTGAGAGATTAAAGATTAGAGAATATGAGAGAATGAGAGAATTTGAGTTGTGAGAAAAATGTGAGAGTTTAGGGCCAATTTACAGAAAAAAAGGGGAAAGAAAAATGACGAAAAAGACCCCTCCAACGACTATAAAACGGCTATATTTCAAGGGTAAATGAGTAATTTGAAAAAATAAATTAAATTTTTTATTTTTTTTGGGCCAACCCGCAGGTCAACCCGACTGGTTAACAACAGCCAACCCGGCGGGTTGGCGGGTCTCTTTTAAAAGAGACAAAACAACAACCCGCCGGGTTGCGGGTTGTCATTTTGCAACCCGACCCGCCTGGGGATTACTGTCGGGTTGGGTTCAACCCGGACCGCCATATTGGCGATCCAGGTTCAACCCGCTTTATTGCAGGCCGAGTTAGGGTTGACCTGTCTAATCCGTCCCATTTGTTCCACCTCTAGCCTCTGCTGCCCATTTAAATGATCTATCTAATTCTAAACTTTTTTTTTTTTCATTTTTAAAAATTAATTTTTTATTACCTTTAAAACCTTATGAATTTCATGACCCTCACTTACCCTTTTCATTAAAATACACAAAACCCTAACCCCAGAAATAATTTTACGAAAAAGATATTTATTTATTCCATACTTTATCTACAAAGTCAGATCTCTTGATGGCCAATTGATTTTCTGTTGATCTAAACATTCTCATCGGATACCACATTCCATGTGGCTCGCAATTTCCTAATCATTTGCCACGTGTTCCATATACTCCCTGATAAGTATTCCACTAACTGCACATAAACTTCCCCTCAACTATTAAAGCAAAGCTCTCTCCGCCGATTTATCGGCCTCCTCGCCGGACATTTAAATCCTTATTTCCCATTTTACCCTTTCTCTTAAACTCTCTCTCTTACTCTGTTTTTTTCCTCATTAAAAAATCTTGCGACACAAAGAGATGGGCAAAGCCGCTACCCTCTTTGTGAAACACACTCTTTTTGAAAATTAAAATAAGAAAAGAAAAACCTAGCTTGGTGAGACCTAGGGTTAGTTTAGTCATTCATTGCGCCATGTGTCGGCGATGACAGTCAACCTCTTCTAAATATAACCATCATCGGCGAAGGAGAGTATACAGAGATGTACAAAGAGCGAGTCGGTGGCTCCAAATCAGAGGTTGTAGGTTCAGTTGATCGGAAGCGGATTAACGACGCATTAGACAAGCAACTCGAAAGATCCTCTCCATCCACTTCCAGAGCCACGATCAACGGCAAGGATTTGTCCGTTCTGATGGGGAAGCATCCAGCTGATCATCACCGAGACGCTCGCGCCGCTTCGCTCACCAAAAACAACGCCTCTGATGGTATCTTCTTGCTTATTTGCATATACATCTCGAAATAGTATATGTTATTTATTTTCATTCCTAAGAAGAGTTTATTTCATGATAAACTGTGTAGCTTTTCAATTGTTCATGTTTTTTTAGTGTTACTGTGTATTCCTCGAGACTATTCTAGTTTTACTTTTAATTGATGTCTTGAGATTTTACAGTATATTGGTTTTGGTTTCTTGGAATATGTAATTATAGATTTGTTTTGTAATTTTAGAAACATTGAATCACCTAATTAGGTTTGATTTTCAGTATAATAAAAGAGACTGTAAGGTGTTTCAATTTTGGTCTAAACTATAATTCATTCTGATTAACAGAAACTAAACCACCTTCAGTCATACTTCTATTTGTGATGAAAAGGCTTTGTGTTGTTTTTTAACATAGTTGATCAAACTATGAATTGAGTTTTTTCTTTAACATTGAAATGGTTACTCATCTACCGATTCATTTGGGATGAGATTAGTGAGCTGTTCTACACGGCTGTTGTATACAGCCGTACTCTTTTAGGCAAATTTGAATTCCTGATTTTCTAATTGCAAATATCTGCTTTTTTACTTGTTGTTTCTTATCAAAAGATTTTCTACTTGCTGTCTGTGTTATGGTACAGATACTTTTTTTGTGTGTGGACAATATGGGAATATAGATATACACTATCTCTCATCAGTCAACTGTAATGGTTTATGTATTAATTGCACTTATTGAAGGTCTGATTTTTTTGTGACGTCCTGTTATCTTAATTGTTAAAGAATAGGACACTATCTTTAACTTTCATAAAATTTGCTGTGTTTTCTGTTGTCTTCCCTGAACCCCCCTCTTCCTTTGTAATACTTTTCCTGCTTGTATTATAGGAGGCTGTTCTCATCAATTGGCTAATTTATATTATATCTTTTTTGGCTTTAGAGGAATCTGAAACAGACACTGAGGAGTCTGATGTCAGTGGTTCTGATGGGGAGGATACGTCTTGGATCTCATGGTTTTGCAATCTTCGAGGAAATGAGTTCTTTTGTGAAGTGGATGATGATTATATTCAAGATGATTTTAACCTCTGTGGTTTAAGCAGCCAAGTTCCTTATTATGATTACGCACTCGATTTAATTTTGGATGTTGAGTCCTCACACGGTAAGCTTGTATTATTAAGGAAACAATGCATTTTTTTCTCCATGTAATCTTGTTGAAGCTATTATGCAATTATTTCTGCCAGTGCTCTTCTTCATTCTGGTACAATGTTACAGCTAATATTGTGATCATAGTTATTTTACAGCTCTTGATGAATTCTTTTATTTGACATTTTTGGGAAATGATGCATAACTTTTCTATGTAGTCCTAGTCATTTTACTTTTTTTTCATAGGTAGTGAAGTTATTGGTTTGAATTTATAGGTGATATGTTTACAGAGGAACAAAACGAATTGGTTGAATCTGCAGCAGAAATGCTTTATGGTCTAATTCATGCCCGATACATACTGACTAGCAAAGGAATGGCTGCTATGGTAAGATTTGCTCTTCATGATTTTGTGAAGTTTATGCTTTCATGAATCAACATTCAGGCACTTGTTAGAATTAATATCATTGGAATTTTTACAGTTAGACAAGTACAAGAGCTATGACTTTGGTAGATGCCCAAGAGTCTATTGTTGTGGACAACCCTGTCTCCCTCTTGGTCAATCAGACATTCCTCGTTCAAGCACTGTGAAAATATATTGCCCCAGATGTGAAGATGCTTACTACCCTCGATCAAAGTATCAAGGTAGTATCCTTACAAAGTTCCTTTTCAGTCCTTTTGTGATATATTGTTTAGTTTCTTTCTTGCAGCCTTGTTGGGTAATTAAACCTGAATATTGCTAGATTAATATAATCTTGGAATGACCACTTTATTATACTAAATGTCAGATATGAATAGCGCTAGATAAATTTAATCTTGGAATGACCACTTTATTATACTAAATGTCAGATATGAATAGCGCTAGATAAATTTAATCTTGGAGTGACCACTTTATTACACTAAATGTCAGATATGAATAGCTTATACATCAATATCGGTGGCATGTTTACTGTGACTCGTGCATGTTATTTTGGAGTGCAGTTAGGTTTTTAACTGAACATTATGTTCCCAGGACATTGGTTTGCAAATATTTCCTAAATTTCTTTAACTCTATATAGACATTGATGGAGCGTATTTTGGAACCACATTCCCTCACCTGTTCCTGATGACATATGGGCACCTGAAGCCACAGAAGGCAGCCCAGAACTATGTTCCAAGAGTATTTGGGTTCAAGATCCACAAGCCATGATGCTGGAATAGGAAGCTTCTTTGGGTGAGAGAATTCAGAAAATTGTATTATCTAGCTTCTATGTGGAAGTATTGCTTTTGAGAATTCAGTCTAGGCTTTCTTTTACATGTTTTAAATAGTAACGTAAAGCAAATTCACTATCATGGGAAGCAATCATTTATTATATTTTTTTTTTTTTTTTTCTTCTTCATCTTTTATTTTTTCCTCGTTTGGTTACAATTTTAGCTGTCTAAGCATCTCCGTAAGTTCAATCTTTTTTGGGTAGAGTAAGTATTATAATGCCTCGTACTGCTTTCTTCCATGTCGCCTTCTTTATTCTATGATTGGTGCCAGTGTGGCTACTGACTCTTTGTGTTCATTTCCTCATCTGTCAAGTGAATGGTCCTTCGTGTAATAATTATTTTATGCGCCATAAATTTGTGTCAAGTGAATGGTCCCTCTTGCACTAATTTCTAACAATAATACTACACCCATCACCTTTACATTTTTATACAAATTTTCTCTCACAAACTTATGTGGTAAAAGATGATTGGTTAATTTTAAATTTTAAATAAACTTTTACTTAATCATCTTTTATTATATTAATTTATGGGGGAAAGTTTGTATAAAAAAGATGTAAGTTTAGTATTACTATTTCTAAGGTTGTCCTTTAAATTGTGTACAGATTGGTATAATAATTTACAGAAAATAAAACATTGTATATTTTAGTCAGAAAATAGCCCATGCCAGTTTGGTGATGGGTTGGGACTGGTGGCAGGCATTGAGCCATCCCGTTTTAGAAATTTGGAAGTTTGTGGAGGCACCCTGCATTCACAAAAACATCCCTGTCCTTCGGGAATTGGATTGCCATATTTTGCATACAATTGAGCCTTAAGCAGTTGTTTGTACTTATTACCCTTTAAGGGCTGGAATAGAACTTGACAAAGCTTTTGTCCTGATTTCAGTCATTATTAAATATCAAGTATTTTGTTGGTGTGTGAAAAGTCTGCCTACGATAGAAAGAATTTCACAAGTCCTTTCTGAAGTTTATTGTGTACCATTTGTAACAGATAGTCTTGTGTAAGGTTTTACACTTTTAATGTCCTCGGAAATAGGACGGAATAATTTACTGAAGAGTAAAATAGCTCATACTACATAAAGGCCTTGGTTGTGTTGAGAATGATATTGATAGGCAAGGTGTGAGGTGGGCTTTGGGTCTGTGCTGTTGCTGGGAGATAATGTAAAAAGTGAAGAGGGTATCTTCTTGCTCTTAAGGAATAAGATGTTAATTCGTGTTGTAAGCTCTGTTTTAAAAACCGGACCGGACCAGCCGGTCGGACAGGGAACCAGTAGCTTCTCTGGTCCTGTTTAGGTCTCAAGGGGGTTTTTGAAATATTTTAAAATTATGAGGGTTACTTGTAATTTTATAGGGGTATTTTGAAGATATATCAAATGTTTAGGGATTATTTGGTAATTTTATTGGGGCATTTTTGGAATAAATAAAAATTTTAGGGACCAATTAAGTTTTTTTAGGGAAATTTTTTTAATATATTGAAATTTAAGGGGTTAATATGTAATTTTTTAAAAATAAAATATTGTTGACGTCATCGGTCCAACCGGCCGGTCCAACTGATTGGACCGATTGAACCGTGACCCGGACAGCAAAACGGTTTGCCCTCCGGTCCGGGTTTTAAAACAATGGTTGTAAGATGTATGAGTAAGATTGTTTTACATATTTTAATGAAGCTGAAAGCATCATAAGGTAGCGTCTTTGTATTTTATAGGCTTCTATTAAATTAAATATCATTTCTCTCAATTCATAGAAGCATGTAAATGACAAATACTGTAGGAAAATGCCCATTTCTCCAAATTCACAATTTCCTTCGGCGTATGGGTCTTGAAAAAAGACTGAGAAAGGCCCAGCATTTGCTATCATATTTCAAATACAATATTAGCCCCTCTTGCACTTTAATATTGACAAAATTGTGGGCCACAAGTGAAGATAAAAAATCCGACTTGATATTTGGTTTGCTTTCTTGTTACGATATAGTCAAGTAGTTACTTTTAGGGTTTCAATTTAATTATATTAAAATATTATTGATTGTAGTGTACATGATGATAAGAAGGTAACTTTAAGAAGGTGTCATGATAACATCAACCATAAATCTTCAATTTTAAGATTCTTATTATTATTATTTGTTCTTTCATGTATTGTATCATCTTCTCCTGTCTCCTTCCCATATCCATTATATTTATACGTGGTATCTCTATAATACTTGTGATCATTTGGAGATTTGGTCGTCATTCCAAATTCATTAAAAACTCTTTCGGAGCAGAAACAAGAACAATAGATGAAGATGTGATGTGGGCATGAAAAGGAGAGGCAAAGGCGGATAAGAACAAAGTAAAGCCACCCAATTTTGTGCATCAACTGGTCCAGTACAGACAGGAACTGACTCAGCAAATCCATATTTTATCATCTTATTCTTCAATATAACAGCATAACTTAACTCATTTCATGATTTATTTATAATCAAGGTTTATAAATAATTGTATTTCTTCATGTCTGGGATTGAATTGACCCAATAATGCAGAGGCAGAGGTGTGCAAATAATAATTATGAGAAGAGAGAAAGACATTAATGTGGCCCAAAACTTAAAAAAGAGAAAGGGGGAAAGTGGTGATAGATAGCACGTGACAAGTTGGTTGTCTTTAACGTTTCTTGTCTCACAATAACAATTGTTTAAAGAAGACGCTGCTTATAATTATTACACAGAGCCCTCATATTCCATTTCTTCTGCTAATTTTAGCTTAACCAAGTATTTCTCACAAATAAAACAAACCCATCCTCCTCTTAAACTACTTAAGATGATCAAGGATTGCATTCATTCATTGCATAAATGTATCTTAGCATCTTGTTGACTTATTAAAGTTGAAGTTGTTTGAATGATTTGTTTAATACATTAAATATAATGGAGCAAGTGAACACAACAATTGTATAACAATTAAACTCTATATTTGTTTAATCCTTTTTTTTTTTTTCTTGAAGAATGTTATCTTATTCATATCTTATATTTAAGTTTTACATTATTTAAAATAATAATAGTCTTTTTTATAGTTACGTTTGCAAGTTGAGATTATTTTGATATTTTCTTTTCTAGATAGCAAAAATTTTATATGTAAATATACAACTAACAAAATTAGATAATATAATCTTGAAGAAGAAGAAGAAGAAGAAGAAGAAGATGACAGTTGAGATAACTTAAAACAGGGTCATTTCTCACTCCAACAATTCTCTTACCACTTCAACTTCTTCTGTCTTCTCAGCACAAAACAAAACCAGAACACACACATACTCTAAACTAATTCCTTCAAACTCCATTTCTTCAAGAAGCGATTTTGATTGTCAGAGTTGTATTTAAATGCGTCAAAAGAAATCTGAACATCAGATCACAGAAGAAAACTCAAGTAGAACCAGTTTTGATTCTTCAACCCCACAACAACACACCAATCAAAAACAAACCCATCTCCATATCCAAATCCCACTAACTCAATCTCAGTTTCAACATGAAATCACCCTTCTCTCTACTCCACATAAAAGACCTATGATGACACAATCGCTCTCCTACTCCCCCACTTTTTCTTCTCTCAACCATCACCAAAACAACAAAAGTTTAAATCTTGAATCTTCTTCACACTCCTTTTTGTGTTTCTCGTTTGCCACTAACTCTTCTGCACACAAACTTGTTCAAACTCTATGCCGTTTTTGTTTGCTTAGATTTCACTTGAGGTTTCTCATTCTCTTTTCACTTCCTTCACTCTATATCTTCTTCACCAATCCTCACCGTTTTATTGTGTTAAGTTTGCTTTCTATTCTTGCTTTTCTTATAACCCTTTTTGTGATCTCTCTCAATCTTGCACTCCCTCGTTTTCCTTCTCTTCGTTTAGTTCTCTCTCGCTCATTACCAATAAAGTTCACTTCTTTAAACACTTCATCGTTAAAAGAACCTCTTAGACCTGTTGTTTGGTCAATTGGGTCAAAGCCAAAAGCGGCGAAGAACCCAATTTCAGGTTCCTGGGTGAAGGTTTACAGTAACGGGGATGTGTATGAGGGGGAGTTTCATAGAGGAAAGTGTTCAGGAAGTGGAGTTTATTACTATTATAAGAAAGGGAGGTATGAGGGTGATTGGATTGATGGAAAGTATGATGGATATGGAGTGGAGACATGGGCTAGAGGGAGCAGATATAGAGGGCAATATAGGCAAGGATTGAGGCATGGAATTGGAGTATATGGGTTTTACACTGGTGATGTTTATGCTGGAGAGTGGTCTAATGGGCAGTGTCATGGATGTGGAGTACATACTTGTGTGGATGGGAGTATGTATGTTGGGGAGTTCAAGTGGGGTGTCAAGCATGGCCTTGGTCATTACCATTTCAGGTATTTTTGATTGAATATTGGTTCCTTTGATGTGTTTATTTAATTAGTGGATGGATAGTCATTGGATTTTTTTTGTGCACGATATGCTCTTATCTGGTATGTTGTTGTCCATTCAACGCTCAAATGTAACTTATCTGAATATTTGGGGTTTGTGAATGGATGCTTCTATAGTTGTGGATACTTTTTATCCTATTTGGTATAATATTTGATGCTTGACTGTGGTGTGTTAAGATGGTTATTTTGTGTTTTTTTAGGGTTTATTGAGGTGTGGGCACATGTTTTCTTGAGGTGTTCTATTATGATCATTTGCTCTGGTTTTTAGTAGATTTTAGAAAATGATAATTAGTGATCATGTCACTTTTGAGTTACTGGGTCTACAGGTAGCCTAGATATATGAGCTTATTCGGCTTATGTATATAGAGTCATGGAGGTTTGTATTTATCTTATGTATAGGCTTTCTAATATCTTCTACCAGATTATAGTTTAGGAAATGCTGTTTTTTTTTACATTAGTCAGTTCCGATTTTGCTCATCTGTTTTGGTTTCAAATAAACAATTTTATGAGGTCTATAATAGTTGAACGATTACCACCTGGAGAAAATTTTATTTGTAGTTTAAGTCTTATGAATATAAATTGGTATATTGCGTCTTCTCTCTGTGTTATTGTCTTCTAAATTACTTCATAGCCATTTCGAATTTGAGGTCGGTTACCTTATTGAACCTTTATGCTGTTAAAAATATTAGAATTCTACTTTTTGGTTGATATCATTTTGATATTCCCATTTCCTCCCCTTTTATGTTTACTTGTGGTTTAACTTCTAATCTAATCCATATTCCATAGGCTGGTGATGGTAAGAAATCTTGATCCTCGTGCAATATGAATACACTTGTTACTTGTGATTTTTGGTTTTAATGACTGGCATTGTTGCCATGCAGATGGGGACACAATTCAGGAGAATATTTTGCAGACAGGATGCACGGGTTGGGAGTTTATCAATTTGGGAATGGACATCGGTATGGGGGCCTGGCATGAGGGAGAAGGCAGGTCTTGGTATGTATACTTTCAGAAGTGGTGAGACAGAGTGTGGTCACTGCAAAATGGGGTTCTTGATGTTCCAAGCACACGAAACACGCATCCTGGACCTCCCTATCCTGTCACCATTTCAAGGTTCTGAATGCTGTCCAGGTAACTTTGTTTTTTGCCTCCTTGTGAAAATGATATGTTTTGGAATACAAAGATTATTCAGCGCAACACTTAGTTTTAGAAAATAAAATGCAAGTGTGAAGTCTTTACTGAAGGAGATGACTACATTCCATTGCTTCATTAGTTTTTTGTCATAACATCGAAAATTGTATCTTAGATTCTAAATCAATCAATGTATAGGAAAACTAGCTTGCTAGCTCAAATATTAGAAATACTAAGCATTTGTGTTTGCCTGGCATGGGGAATTGGAGGTTAATTATGGTAATATGTGTTTTCTGCAAAATTATGTGATTAAACTTAGATTGGGCTGATTCAGATCTGGATTGGCACAATGCTTTATTCACTTTATGTTCTGTAGGGTAGCTCATGTCTATTGCTTTAAAAGTTAGGTTAAAAGTGAAACATGGTTTGTTACATGATTACACTAGCCAGACCCACTTGAGCATATGGTTGATTTAGTATTTGCACACTTTACATATTGTCAGCCATGATCATACAATATTTGGTGCTTTTGTAACCTATTATACTTGTTCTGAGTTGGTGCTTGTGACCCTTGGATAAATGTTTAAACATTTTTAGTTTTGTTGGAATTATTAATTAATATTGATTTCGCCTTTTAACAGGAAGCACACGGCTGCTGCAAAGCAATGACATTGCAAAGGTGGACGAAAGAGTGAATAAAGCAGTTGCCGCTGCCAATAAAGCAGCCAATTCGCGCGAGTTGCATCTGTAAAGGCTGTTCAAAATCAAAGGCACCACAGTGACAGTGATGATATGCCGACTCTTGATCCTTAAAAGGCAAATGGTTTCAGAATCATGTTTATGCAATTAACTACAAGCATTTCAGTTTTTCTTTTCATTTTCCTAGAAAAAGAGTGAACATGAGAGCACGGAGAAAGTGGGATTTTTTCTCCCTTTCCTACGCTGTTCCTTAGACTTTGGTGGTAGTTGTTATTTTCTTCGCATTAGCAAGAGGTACATGCTTGGAACCACATTCTGTCATGAGAGTAAGATGGCAGAATGTGGAGCAAGATGGGGTTCCTCTTTTCTAGCCTGAATAACATGTACATAAGTTGAGAGGTTTGAAAGATGGCACGAAGGTGCCAAAACTTAGCTCATCTATTTTGCGTCTTGTAATATGTAAGCAGTTGTGTTTGTGGGTCTACTGGTAGTGGATAAATTTGTCCAGCCAGCGTTGTATGCCTCCCTGGCTTTAAGGGGATATGAAAAAATATCATGCAACATATTTTTTCTAGTTTCTAGTTTCTTTAACACCAGTGTTGCAAAGCATATTGTTAATGCAAAATATCATGCATCAACTTCCAATAATAGTGAGATTATCACGTGCAAATGTACTCTTATCTTCTAATTATTTAGCCCCCATAAAACAGCCCAGTGGCTTAAGACGATGGTCTTCTCGAGAGTCGACTATCCATGACAGTTCTTAATTTTATGGTATTTAACCATTATTTTAAAAATCGGATCGGAGGGCAACCCTTTCTGCTGCCCAGGTCATGGTTCAACCAGTCCAACCGGTTGGACCGTCGGTTAGACCAGTGACATCATCACACAGTATGATGATGTCAGCACATTAACAAAAAACATGATGTTTATTTATGCAATCATTTGTTTAAAATGATAACGGTGGTTCACACATTTTCAGCAAATTATAATCACTTTTCTTTTGGTTCAGTCGAATTTATTAACTAGACCCCATGTTTAAATCTTAAACTAACAAACCCCAATTCAGAATTCACCAGAAAAATAGCCTCCATATATATGTATACTAGCTGTCATCATGACTACGGTGATACATGAAAAATTGCCTTCACATTTTGGGATCAAATTTAGTTTAATACTGGCAAAATAAACGCAGAAAAATGCATGCATTCCGGTGATATAACAGAGTAAATATAAGAGATTTTATTTCATTGAGCAACAACATTCTTTGGAAACAAACTACCTTCAGCAAAATGCAAATACGCAGAAAAAGTTCATCAACATTTAATTCCACAGAAAAAGTAAATATAAAGGATTCTATTTCATTGAGCACCAACATTCTTTGGAAACAAACTACCTTCAGCAAAATGCAAATACGCAGAACAAGTTCATCAACATTTAATTCAGCAAGCAAGCATTCCTCCTGCTAGATGGTTGAACCAGAGTTTCTCCAAAATTCTAATACGTATTAGAGATGAACCTATGAATGGCGTGTAACTGGTTCAATTGTTGCCGGTTAACAGTAAAAATAATTGCAAACAAAAAAATCACATTTAAGCATTAAAAACGAAATCATTATACCAAAAAGAATCACAGCCAAGGGTCAAAAACAGCAACTTATGAACAAAGATTCACTCAAGGTAAACAATAGTATTGTTACAATACAACCACAACCGCTCTATAGATTGAAAAATGTAAAAGGTGTTAAACTTAAATGTAAAGGGAGCGAGGAATGGCATTACCTGGATAGACGAATGGAGTTGTCGTCGTCGATTTCCAACGAGGGAGGAAGACGTCGTCGTCGATTTTAGAGAGTTCAGATGCGATTTGGGTGGGATTTCAAAGAGAACAGAAGACAGAGCCGAAACTGTGAGAATTTTCACAGAGATCAAGGTGTTTGCTGAGAAATTTTCGTGAGAAAAAGTGAGAAAGACTGAAAGAGAAGAAGATGAGAAAGGGCTGCCTGATAGAGAAGAAGATTGTCACGTGTTAGGAATTGTAAAATTGTGGACCGGTCTTTCCACTAGTTCGGTTGGATCGACGGTTCACTGTTATTATCCGGTTTTCAATCGGTTTAAAACGGTTCAATACATAATAGCTTTTTTAGGGTGACCCGAACCAGACGCGTGACCAGTTCACGGTCCAACCTGTTGGACCGGCCGGCCGGTCCGGTTTTTAAAACAGTGTATTTAATCATCACATTTTATGATTTATTGATGGATGGCGTCAAATCAGATGTCATCAATGGAGTCATAAAAAAGGTGAAAGATATCATCATTATTCCGTCTTATCCAACAAACAGCTCAAAATCAACTCTGGGTAATGAACTTGCTTTGCAGCAAAGAACGCCTCTGTAAATAAATCAATATCTGATCGGGAAACACGGCACCGGTATCATATTCTTTCGGCAAGGGGCCAAACATTTTAGGTTGTAAGTGGAGACGCTGCAGCAACACTTCATCTACTTCTGGTCCACTTCTTTGCACAAGCAACATTTTTAATTTGAGTATCGCTAGCCTTACGATACAAAAAAACAATCCTTATCCTTAAAATTCATGATTACATCTCTCTCTCTCTCTCTCTCTCTCTCTCTCTCTCTTTTCCTTCTTTTAAAGGCAAAGATTGTCTCTTTGTATACCTCTTTATAAGACTAATGTTACTCTTTTAATTTTACCATGCCACAGGTATTTAAACTTTAAAAATTCCTGTTATCTAGTATCGTTATTAATATCACTATCACAAGCAACAAACTAGGTTGGTAGATAAGCATCGAAAACTAATTTTATTACTGCCTCTCCAGACAATTCTTCTCCTGTATGTAGCGCAACACCTAATCTAATACACCATGGCTCCATGATGGTGACTAAGATCTACAAATAACAGACATTCCACAATTACCTATCCACAACACAACTCATTCTTAACATAGCCTTCCCAGAATAAAGTATCATACTAGTAGTTAAGGGTAAAAATTGTTGAGCAAACCACAGTTTAATCAACTAAACAATGTTTCACAGAGGAATTTAAATGAAAATATCTGAGCAAATCCTACAGTGAAAACTTTCATTGACCGGAAACAAACAGATGTTACCTATAAACTTAGCAAGTCAAAATAACTGCAGCAATTTCAAGTAAACACCAAATAGTTTTTTTGCATATTCAAAAAAGCAATATCAAAGACTAATAAGCATATATTCTAAGAAGTAAGCAATGGTAGCTCAACTTTCAGTTTGCTCCCTCAACCTCCGGATTGTGCTCCTCACTGTCACAGCGCTAGCAGTGCTGAAAATATAAACAAAACCAGCAACCATTCAGTCAATTGGAAAGAATTCAAAAATAAAAAAAGTGAGAAATAAAAACAAGGAATTTTACTTCAAAGTGTAGGCACCGCCTGCTTTTACTTTCCCACAGTCCTTGCAGCCCCAAATTCCCACAGCTTTCCTCTTCACTGCATACTGCAGTAAAAAATAACCATTAGAATCAAGTAGCAATTCTACTAGTTACCTCACAGCAATAATCAAACTATCAAATTAACATATAGTAACAAATATCATACCTTCCCGCAAAATTCGCAGAAATATTTGCTATGCTGACTAACCTCCATCTTCTTAATTTGCTTCCGCAAACTGGCACCATAACGAGTACCTGCATGAAGAGATGAATCAAGGGTCCAAATCTTCACAACATAGTTCCAACTGAACTCAAAGGTGAATATTTTACAATATTCATGTATACATATAGAAAGATTGTTTTATCCTATATATATAGGCAATAGTAATAAATTACTAGTAGGAGTAGTATTGATAGTAGTGGAACTACTACTGATATTAATAACGAAACAAGAAGAATGTGCAAAAACTAATAAATCTACACACTGGAAGAATAAAACTAAAATTTGACACACGGTGATTCCTTTAACGTTACTTTCATTTATATCATATGCTTTTAACATTAATTTCAATTTGAATCTTACAACCCAAATATAAACCAAGACTCAACCAAAAGAACATCTTTTGTTTGACAGATCATATGCATCAATAAATTGGAAAAAAAATCGATACCTCAAATTTATAAAATAGAAAAAGAAAAGAAAACTAACACTTTACCAAACCACTAATTTTCATTAAGGTAGATGTTAGTCCATTATCAGCCCATAAATATCCAAACACGTCCAATATTATCTAATAAAGAGAACCCCAAGATGAAAAATTCTAGCCTCTCATTCAGTAATTTAATTGACACATACCATACTTTCCGACGATTCCAGCCTTCTTTGTTCGCTTAGTCTGCATGAAGCAAAACATTTCAACTTAGAACATTACACCAAGTGAAAATAAATGTGATATGCACAGAAACATATACATTAATCTTTCCTTGAATGAATATAGTCTTCAGGAAATTTTGATACTCTAAATACATTCCATAATGCACAACTGTATAACAACGGGGAAATTTTTTGCGAGGGGCATAAGGAACCATCACAATTGGACAAATCACTTCAATGCCATATATGCAATGAAAAGAGGACAAGCAGCAAATACTTTGAAACCATAATGATCAGCTTTTCTATTCCTTTCAACCGTTCTTGGGATAAAAAATCTTTAGCCTCCATATTAATAGACTGAAAATTTTAAAATCAGTACAAAACGGTAAAAAACAAAAATTGAAAATTTAAGCAAAATCTAATTACGAAACCTAAATGAAATAGATCACCACAAATACATTGTAGGTAACATCATCTTTCCTATATATCCAGAATAATTTTAAGTAACTTGAAACTAAAAATAGAATAACAGTTATTATGCGTAAAGAGAAAAGAAGAGAGTGTACCATGGTTGTGAGGGCGAAGATGGTCTAACTCTTGAGCAAGCTGCGGCTCTTTGAAACTGAGACAGAGAAACCCTAGTTGGTTTCTTTTATTGCGTTTTATATGGGATTGACTAAACGGGTCGGGTAGACATTTGTATGGAACAGTCATAAAATCTAGGCCCAAACCTAATAGTAAACCCAACTCGCATTTTTGTTTGTTACTTTTCGATATAATTACTTATTTAACCCTTTTAGGGGAATTTTTATTTTAAATCGTCATCACTAAATGTATTTTGATTTCAGAATGGAATGTAGAATATTGTGAAACACATTTGGTGTTAGAGGCATATGGGAAGTTGACTATTATAATCCAATTTAGGTTAACAATACAAATATCTAGAAAATTGTTGAACAAAACTCAAACATGATTAACAAACTTGATTTCTTCACAGCTCCAGCCCCGTCACTTAGTAATAGATTATATTTATTTATTAAAAAAATAAAGGAATTATTTCACGTAGTAGTGGACAAAGAAACCGTGAAACCATACTAAATTGAAAATTAAAATGGTTTTAGTGTGGTATGGATTTTTAGCAAAAAAAATCCGTTCCTTTTTTTTTTTTTTTTTTTTTAATTGTACAGTACGGTATAGTTTTCGATTTTTGGTTTTTCAAAATCGAACTGTTTACTTTTTAAAAAAACTCCCTCTAAATTGCCAAAAATGTCCTTAGAACAAATAAAAGAACCCTCTAAAAATATTAAAACGCCCCCACTATAAAAACGATAATACCGAATCATATAGAACCAATTTTTTCTATATAATACATTTCTATTATTAATCTAACACAATATGGTATGATATTTTTTTTTTTTTTTTTACAATTTTTTCTTGTATGATAAAATACGAGTTGACAAAAAAAACAAAAAAAAAAAAAGGGAAACATAGTGCTTTTATGCAACGGTAATTCCAAGCCTACATCACCAATTATAATTTCATAGGAATCGAGTATTTTCCTCTGTTTCAAAAATCAGATTGGACCAGTCCAACCAGGATCCGGCAACTTCTCTGGTCCGGTTCAGGTCTTAGAGGAATTTTTGTAATATTTCAAAATTATAAAGGTTACTTTGTAATTTTATAAGGTGTTTTGGAGATGTGTCAAAAGTTTAGGAATTAATTGATAATTTTTGGGATATTTTTAAATAAATAAAAATTTTAGGGATTACTTGGAACTTTTTAGGGAAATTTTTGTAATATATTAAAATTTAAGGGATTAATAATAATTTTTAAAAAATAAAATTATCGCTGATGTCATCGATCCAACCGATTAACTTGTGACTCGAGTAGCAAAACGAGTTACCTTTCTACTGGGGTTTTAAAACTATGATATTTTCATGAAAAAGAAAGGATTATAAATATAGAATTTCACCAGATTTGACATATAGAATGTCTGTAGACTGCGACTGCTGGCTTGCAATCAAAGGACACTTATCTTATATCTTGTAAGCACAACCACAACAAAACTCTGTGAAGGATTTTTAGGTGTGATTAAAGCATGGTCTCTTTTAGATATATTGTGTACGATAAAGACTATTGGGTATATTATTTAAGAGATATTGAATTCGATTCTCCTCCGTTGTTAATAGGAGTAGTCATTAAAAGGTTTATCCAGTCGTTAACTTTGATGTCCCGAAAGATTAATCGAAATACATATAAATTTACCCGAACACCCCAGTTAAAAAAAAGTCCCTTAACTCTGATTGTTTCCTTTCATTTCGTAAATTAAGAAATAAAATATGGTAATACTTATTTTATTTGTTAACAACACTCGTTGTTATGGCAAGCAGACTTGTAAGGATAATTTTATTTGTTTAGCCAAATTAACAATTCAGTGTGCACATCTGTCCATAAATTCACTGCCACGGAACCATTTACCGACACTAACAAGACAGAATCCGAATTTGATGTTCTTTTGGTTTTGGTAATGGTTATGGTATAATTCCCCACAATACATTTCAGATACTCTCTACCCAGTGCACAAGAAATAATAACACATCAAAATCATTGGCCCATTTCCAATTCTTAAAGCAAGAGATGGACCGGTTCCTAATAATAGCATATCTACAATCAGGCAAAAGAGAAAGCAGAAGAAGCTTATAATGGGACTTCTTCAGACAAAACAAAAACTCCAAAAGCGTACAGGTTCGTGGAACTACAACACTGGTTATCTACTCTAAGTTGATGGAGGCTTTCGTTAAGCCGAGAGTCTCAATCAACTTAGACTCTTCAGGCTGCTCAATTATCTCCTCAACGAATTTGTGATGTTGCAACATCTCTTCCAAAACTCTATCCTCTAACTCTTCACTTGCAGATTTCTGCTGATTGCCACTTCCATCTGAAGAAGAGAATACCAACTCAGAATATCGTTCCTTTCTCGCTTGTCTACAACATTTACTCTCTTCCATAGTCCCCGACGTAATCAGATGATAAACATACACAAATTTTTTCTGACCAAGCCTATATGCTCTGCTTATAGCTTGTCTTTCAACAGCCGGATTCCAGGTAACATCAAGCAACACAACCCGCGAAGCCCCCACAAGATTTATTCCTTCACCACAAGCCCTTGTTGAGGCAAGCAATACCTTTGCTTCACTCTTTGGATCATTGAACACTCTGATTGACGACTGCCGCTCCTTTAAATCTCGCTTCCCATCCATATATAGCACCTCCTTGCCCTGAATCCAATTCAAAATACATTTAAGTTGGTCCATTATCAAGGTTAATGGCTCAATGTATTGGCTGAAAACCAATACCTTTTCATTCATAGCAGCACTAAGTTTGAGAAGCATCATGAAAAACTTGGTTTTGATTCCTGCCTCAGCATTCAGTCTAAGCTTTTCCAGCTTAACCTTGTGAACAACAAACTCCTCTTCCTCGTAGCATTGCTCAGGCAACAAGGAAGGATGCACAGATGTCACAGACACAATATGATCCAAGGTAAGAAAGCTTTTTGATCTTTGAAAACCACCGCTTTGCTGATGATAAGATCTTTTGACACCTTCAAGGAGGCTCTTCTGGAAATCATCTGGCTGTAAAACAACCAAAGAGTGCTTCAACCCAGGCAGACTTTCTTTTAAAACAGTTCCTTTATGTATATGCACAATTGGGGCAATCATAGTTTTAAGCTCTTTCAAATTCTTGTCTTCATCTTGTCATCTGTCAGAAGAAACTTTGCCGATGGAGCTGGTCAGAGAAGCCCATTTCTCTTTGGCTTCATTCGGCTTGCGTCCACGCTTTTTGACTACTTTGGATTGCGTTGAATCCGCAAACTTTGGCGCCACCAAACACAGAATATTATATAGTTCTTCAAAGTTATTCTGAAATGGAGTCCCAGAGAGAATGATGCGCTTTTCTGTTTTAACTTTTGACAGAGCCTTAAAAATACCACTCTCATGATTCCGAGGTGTGTGTCCTTCATCAAAGACAAAAATACCCGGAAAATCAAGAAGGATTTTTCTCACATCCTCATCTACTTCCTTGCAGGGCTCTCCACCCTTCTTATCAATACCAACAAGTCGTGCAAAGAGTTGGTAACTAATTCCCAAAATGCTTCCCTTTGTGTTCCATGAGTAAAGCTTCACCTGTCGGATAAGGTTTCTTTTGCGCTCCCCATGTCTAACCTTGGCCCTGTTCATTACATTGAGAGCATAAGCATCTTCCTTGCCAGATAACTCTGGATTGTTGAGATTGTGAAAGGGAATATCAACTTTCCACTTCTGGAACTCTTCTTCCCAGGTAAGCAGCATACTGCGAGGAGCAACAATAACCGGCTTGCAGTTTGGATATAAATTCACGTAGCTCTGCAAAAACACAATAGTAAGACGAGATTTCCCTGTTCCTGGAGCATGTGATATAATGCATCCATTTCCCCTCATGGAGCTTGTTTGTGTTTTCAGTTCATCCAGTTTTATTCCTCCGGCTAAATTAGTCCAAATAAATTCAAAACCTTCACGTTGATGAGGATACATGCTACCTTTTACACCAGGAATAGTGTCCCACACTGTGGCTTCTGCTTGAGAACTGGAATCCGAGGCAGCTTGGGAGTTGAAACCAGAGCCATTATTGCGGAGATCATCAAGCATAGAGTGACCCATTGTCGAGTCCTTCCGCTCAGAGTATCCTGAAGCACGTTTAAACTGCATAAGAAAAACAAGGTTTAGAATATCATATGTTTGATCCCAGTTACTTTTGATTTTTTTTTTTTCCCCCAAAAATATAACAATGAAATTGGAGCCTCTAGCATCAATAAATCAATCAAAACATCATCTAGAAAACCTACATTCAAATTTTGGATTGATCAACATAATAAACATTCAGCTCATCAATGCAGTTTAAAATCATTTCACTAGAGTTCTCAAATTACAACTAAAAAGTTTCAACAAATTTAGCCAACCCAAATTAGAGTTAAAAAAGAAAAGAGGTGTGGCTCAATAAAAAGCATTGAATTCCAACTAAATGCATTATAATCAACACTAAAAGCTTTCTATTAAGATAAATAGTTGATCACATTAAAACATACTCATGCTTGTGAAAGAAAATGCATACTGCTCTAAATTAGAAATTCCAGTATCAGGAAACACAAATGATTCAATATAATGTACTTCACATACTCATACATAAGGCAAATAATTTAACTTATTATCAACATAAGTAAAACATTAAAGCAGTACTTACAAAAGGTGCTGAAATGTATTTAACCTCCACTTTCACGAAGGAGCAGAACTTGCATAAAATTCCAACTTCTTCATCAATGACGAATTCATGAGTTCCATGAGAACATTGGGGAGTTTCATCTTCGACCTCTTGAGATGGTTTTGCACCATGTTCCACCACCTAATGAACAAGGAACAACTCGAACTTACCATTTTATTTGATATAAATGCAAATAAAATAACATGAATAGATTTGATAAGCTAGAACACTCTAATTTTGGAAAAACCAATTATTAAAACATATGTAGTCTATGAGCAACGAGACAATATGTTGTATCATAATCCCAAAAGATGAACCCAATTACTTCAGAGTGGCAACAAAGTAAAGCGCTTGAACTTGCTTTATCGAATTTATCCAATGAACATTCCAATAACCCGTCATTTTTTACTGCCTGCCTCATATATTAGTTAATGAAATCTCAATATAATAATTAGGATCCTGGAAGCAATGAGCAAAATGAGTAAATAAGAACATAGATTGCAGCAGAGTACAGACACTAAGTGATTTGAATTAACCATTAAAGCAAATAATATATAAAGGAAGAAAACATTTGATAACAAAATATACATCAGCTTTAAAACGCAATAATATATAATGCTTATAATTTTCATTGTCCATCATAGATCATAAACAAAAACAAAATAACATTTTCAAGCAGCACAAAGGAGAATGACGAAGTACAGGGCAGCCTAATGAACTGACTTGCAGCCAACAAAATTGATGATAATACAACCAGGCAATAACAAATACATACAAAAAACGAAAAATATTGATATATTGATTGCTCAATAAATTACAATGGCAACGTACCTTGGCAGGATAAGTGGAATGTATCTCAGAGCAAGTGAGACCAAAGTTCAACTCATTCCAAAGTCTATCCATTTCTTCTTCAGATTCTGTTTTTTCTGGAGGAGTTGATTCCTCAATTCCAGATTCAGAATCAAAATCACTTCCATCACTTCTAGCAGATAAAGAAGTTTCACAGCCAATTTCTTCCGCGCCCAAAATGGAATTCAAAAGAATCTTTTGCACATCATTATACTTCAAGATGTGGTTTCTATTGGAGAATTTCGTAGGCCCTGTCTTCTTAACACTGCGAGACACTTTGTCATTGTCATTATCAACAAACCTACGAGATTCCAGCTTCTCCGCATCCATGCTCAATGTGCGCCTGAGTTTTGTTTTCCTTTCCGAATTTTCAGAATTAAAGCATGATCTAGTGCGTTTAGCCACAGAGTTCAGCGATTGATTGACATTATCAAATTCATTATATTCCTCACTAATGCCATTGTTTTTGCTGTTTTCAGAATCAACCAAATCCTCCATTCCATCTTTCTCTTCAACCACTTTGCCCTTACTTGCTCCCTTTGCAAACACTCTCTCCTCAACAAAAATCACACCTTCATCCTCACTAGATGACTCCGCTACACTATCAGAAGTTTCAGACTTTTCAGGTCCATAGTCTTCATAATCAGGATCATCATTATCCTCCTCTTCACTGGATGAAAACAGCTCATCTGAACTGTCCACACTCACCCCTGACCCTTGGCCACCGAAAACATCATCTTCTTCCTCATCAACATCTTCATCACACTCTTCTACCCCTAAATCACATTCTTCCCCTAAAAACAGCACCCCATCCTCGCTGTCACTGTCATCCAACGCAATCACCTCATCATCAGTTCCCTCTTTTACTCCCATTTGAGGATTACCTTTGTTCTCCTCCCCAGAATCCTCTACACACACAAAAGTAGCATCATGTCCACTCAATGATTCTACACCTTCTACATCAACAACTTCTTTACAAGCTACAGATCCTGATCCTAGATTCTCACCCTTAACTGATCTAACTTGATAATAACTTGATTCGCTCTTCGCCACTGCCTCGGTCCGACCACTATCTAGTTTCCGTTTCTTGATCTCCTCATGGATCTTCTTATACATGATAGCCTCTCTAGAACGGGTCCTCTTCGCTATAGGCAAAGTAGAATCCATTACACCCTTGCAAAGATGCGATTTTTCCTCTGTTACAAGTCCAAACAAACAACTATATTAACATCCCTATATTACACCTGGAAAAATCTCAACTTTCACCAAACAAGTAATCAACATATACACAGCCAAAAAGGTAAACAAAGCGTTGCAGTTTCTATAAAGAGAATGAAAGTAAGAGAGAGGCAGAGTAGTCATTCGTATTCAGGGCCAAAGATAGAAAAAAGAATACAGAACCAAAAAAAATCAAAGAAAAAACAAAACTTGATATTAAAAAAGACAAGTACATTTGTCAGAGACGAGGTTGGTGAAAAAAAGCAGCAAAGAACGTCCGGCGTCGAGATTGACAGAGAGAGAAGTCTGTCCAGTCACGTATTCAAACGAAGGGAATAGCCAAATATCAACTCGAGACGTGCGGGTGAATATAGAGGGTATTATAGAAATCATGAAAGTAAAGAAGAAGAAATTTTACCGGCGACTTGCCGGAGAGGGAAAGAGAATGTGAAAGGGCGCCAAGAATGCATGAGCAAAAAAACCTGCAGCGGAATAAGTCAAAACCTGTCTTCAAATGACTTAATTGCCCTTGTAGGGTTAAATGGAAAATAAAGACGAATCAGTGACGGCTCTGATAGCGTGTGGAAAGAGAAACAGTAGGTTTCTGTGTGAGTGGATCTGATGTGACGTGTGTGAATCATGATGGTTCTGATACCCGAATTAATAAAATAAACTTTTACGTTTCCTACTTTAATATAGAAATTATGTTTATCTATCAGTCAAGTTTAAAATATGTTTTTAATCCTCATTCAATTAGTTTATTTATTTATTTAGCGAAAGAGATAATTGATCAGTTTGATTTAATTAGGGATTAACTAAGAAAAAGGGTCAAACTAAAAACTTCTTTTCTAGAATTTTCTATAATTATTTCTTTAAACACAGCATAATATTTTTTTATGTCAAACCATAGCAGACTTGTTTTTCAATCGATTACCCAATCCTAGAATTTTTGAACTATTATACAATATTTAAATCAAATTGTCACCCTAAACGCCGTTAAATTATCATCGTTTAAAGACAAAGGGTGAACAAGTCTTTCAGTGGTTTACTTTTTCTTAAACAAGCAGCTTATAAGAAATCTAGGGGGTGTTTGAACTTATGAAAATTAGCTTATAAGTAATAATTGTTTATAAGCTAAAATTAACTTATAAGCATTTAAAATTTTAAGCAATTACGTGTTTGGTTAAAGTACTTATAAGTGATTGATAAGTAATTGACGTGTTTGGTAAAATGTGGCTTATAAGTATATTTTATTATAAAATTACTAAAAAAGATACTACATTAAACAAGGACATATTATGGAATTTTAAAATTAAACAAGGATAATGTAGTAATATACTTGGTCAAACTAGCTTATAAGCAAAGTGCTTATAAGCCAAAAAAAAAAGTACCTCTCCCCCAACTTATTTTTTTCAACTTATAAACTCAAAAAAATTATAAACAAATAGGTCAGTTTAATTTTAGAGCTTATAAGCAAGTTTTACCAGCTTATAAGTTTAGACAAACACCCCCTTACAAAAGTATTTAATAATCTCAGCTGTCCAAGATCTTTGGCCACGGAACCAGCAGCGTATTATCCTACGGTAACGCAACCAAACATGTTAGACTCGGTGGTACCCGTGTTTATTGCTGAAACGGATGTGTTTTAGGAATGAGGACGTTTGCGTTTGAGTGGTGGTGATGGTTTTTGGGGTGGCGTTTCAGAAGAAAATAGGAGATGAAGGAGGAGGTGGTGGTGAAAACAAAAACGGCAACGAATAAAAGCGAAGTAAGATCAACAGAGAAAGTTTGATATTAGATTAGGAATTTGGGCGGGAGGCGTGTTTCATTCGTAATTGAAGGTTGAGCTGTCATTACTAAATAAAGTAAATTAAACGCAGACTCTGACAAAATAATAAGGGCATTTTAGTAATTTAATTTTAAAATATTTATTATAAAAAATAAGGATAAATTAGGAATATATTTTCAAAATTCCACTGAAGATTTTTTTTTTTTTTTTCTTTATACATATACAGTATAATCTTTTAATAGTAATATCGGAATAACTTCCATTTACTCATAAAAAATTATAGTCCCAACTTAGGTCAATTATAAATAAAAAAAAAATTTACATTATAATAAGTTATAGTTTTTAAGGTCCCGTCTTAAGGAATTTACCTTTACATAATAATAATTATATGTATATTATAAAAAAAATATGTGTTATATTACATTAAATATTTAAAATAAAATAAAATATTTATCTAAAGTTGTTTGAGACAATGATTTATGTTTTAAAATTATTAACATATATTTTATCTTGCAGGTACGTAATAAGTTGCTAATATAAACACCTTCTTGTTGAAATCAAAATATTTCTAACGGCATATTTGAAGCTTCTTGGTATGAAACTTTTGATATTTATGTACTATATTCATCCTCATGATTATCTCTTTTTTCTTTTTGTCTAATTCTACTAATAATTTCATCTTTAGTTAAAGTATACACAACTTGTTACTCATTTGGATGATTAAGGAAGATATTAATACCCATTTGATTAGTATAGTTAAGTTGTCAAATCTGATCACTCAATTTTACAATAACACTTTGATATCAATTTCTATACTATCCTAATACTATTAAAATAATGAATTAAAACCCTAATACTACTATGAAATATAAAATCAAAAATCAAAATAATAATTTTTGTAATTACATTTTTATTAAATTATAATAAGTTATAACCTTGTTACCTTAATAAATTTAATTGTTGGAGATCATGGTTATAGAAAGTAATATGAAATGAAATTCTAAAATCAATAATCGGCGGCGGCGGTGTTAAAAAATATCAAGTAGTGCAGAAAATTTTAAAAGGAAGCATGATAGCTATGTGAAATGACCAAAGATGATAATCACTCTATTTCACTCCCTACACCCTAGTTGTATGTGATCAAAATGGCATTTACGTAGTTGCAACAAATAATAATGTCAAATAGACTAGCTCTCGTCACGGCTACTCTACAGTACCTGAAAAGGGTTAACATGAAGTTTATGGGATGCCACCCACAACCGTCAAACACTATTTTTTTTTTTTTTTATGCAATTACATTTACACGCCATTAGATTTAACTTTTGGGTGGTTCTGATTCATTTTGATCTTAAAAGTTTTTAATTTGTGCATTTCAAAACTAATTTTTATTATATAATAATCTAATTCCTTATTTAATTATGAATTTTAGGTGCATTACAGGTATTTTATTTATAGAAGTGGTGTTAGTGTTACCAGTCTGGGATAGACACGATATAAAAAGGTATATATATTCTCTTTTTAGTTTTTTCTCTCTATACAAAATCCCTAGTTAGGAAAGACAGCACGGCAAAAAAAGGTTAAGAGAATTTGATAGGTATGATACGATAAATGGTGAAAAATATATTTATAAAAATTTGGTCATAAAATTCAGATACAGAAAAAATACGATACGGATATATATAGGTTTAATACGACACATTATTAATAATACATTTTGAAAAATACGGTAATATCAATCCTGGTTTTAGCAATGTTTATGGATCACCTGGTTAAAATTAATATAACATTCCAAATATACTGGTACAGCAAAAAAATGGTACAGAAATTTTACTGGTATGATACAGTAAATGGTGAAAAATATGTTTGTAAAAATTTGACAAAATTTTGGATATGAGAAAAATACAAGAATAATTCACTAATAAAACATTTGAGACATAGTTTGCGAATAATACGACTAAACTAATAAAATATGAAAATTTGCGAATAATACACGAATTATAGGACTTTTTGTTGGCTAATTTACTAAATAGGCAAAAATCTACAATTTTAAACAAGGGTAAAGGTAAACGACTTTTTCCCACCCAATGTTTGTCTTAATAACATTTTTCTTTTCAAAATACCAATTTTTCACCCAAAATTAATATTCAGTTACTATCCAAAACTGAATCTGGTAGTGAAAACTCTCTCTGTCACTATCATTTAAACCTTCGGTCTTCTCTCTACAAAATTCCTTTCACTATGATACTTGATTTTTTACCGATTGTCAGTCACCGTAAAACTAGAGTTTCTTATTTTTAACTGATTTTCGATTGATTCTGACGACGAATATTCGATCAGTTATCACTATTTCGTGCATCAGTTTTCACTCTACAAAAACCCTTTTACCTTGGCTCCTGATAACTCATAAAATGCCGATTAAAAAAGTGAAGTGTATTTTAGATATGAAAAATGCTATCTTTACAAAGACCCATACAAAGAGGGCTACAAAGTGACATCATCTAGAAGAAAAAAATAAAAAAAAATGGAAAAGGAGAGAAATAAAGATAGAAATTATAAAAATAAAGGGTAAGGATTGTCTTTGTATGCTCTCTTTGTATATATTTTTATAAAACTAGCATTGTCCTTAAAATGTTAATGAAATATAAATATAGGTGGAAAATTTTAAAATATTAATAAAATATAAATATAGGTGAAAAAAATAATATTTTAAAACTTTTTGCATCATTAAGGCAAACCTCGGTGGGAAAAAGCCGTTTACTCTTTAAACCACACAATTATTAATGTGATGGTTTAACCTCAACTAGGTTTTGATTGATGTGTGACTACACACTAGGCAGTAGGCACCACAAACGAGATCCACAATTTTAAAGAAATAAAATTATAAAATTTTGTTTTTTAATCTGTAACTGAAACACAACCCACATCACCTAAAACTACACTATAGTTTTCAGGAGTGACTGTTTTCTGCTGTATTTAAGAGAAAAGTAGTTTTGCTTAGTTAAAAGGACTAAAATCTTCAGATTAAGCGATCCTGTAATTGTATTTGTAGGATTTTTNCCCGTCTGGGATAGACACGATATAAAAAGGCAGATACATTCTCTTTTTAGTTTTTTCTCTCTATACAAAATCTCTTGTTAGTACATACAGTACGGCAAAAAGG